CCGTACACGGACAAACGCCAGAATACTAACGTTTATGGCGAAACTAAGCACAACAACAACAGGAAAAAACAAACTGAAATATTTGAAAAGAAAAAAACTGTCGGGAGGTGACAGCGGGGGCGTATCCTGGGAAGGGCGAGCGTCGGTGGCGGCCAGGAGGCGTACGTCTCAGGGAGGCTAGGTGAGGCATGAGATCCGAATGCTAAACAAAATAACTCCTCTATGTATACCGTGAAAACCCGCGCAAACTTCCCTCAGTTCCTGTCTCATGAGTAGGTCGCGGGTGATCTTGCCGACCCTCTCATGATCCTTCTTTACTTACATGGCACGCCTGCGACCCCATGTGGGTCCATCCGACATATCAATAAAAGAGCTAGAGCTCTGAAGTGGGCGTCTATTCGATAAACGAATTCTTACCAATCAGACAAAGCTGAGCCGAAAAGAAAAATGCAAGAATCCGCGTGAATTTTTCAAAGTGCGGCGAGTGAGAACGTTCTCTAGTTTGATGAAAATTTTTCACCGCTGAAGCCTCCTTAGTCTCGCAAGAACAACTGCAAGAACGTTCTCATGCTCAGAACAAAACTAATGGTGGCTACTTCGAAATTATTTGCGATTATAAAGTTTGCGTCACATTGTTATATAAAGATATATTTCCTCAACGCCTATTGGTAGAAAGTAAAATTTGCTTTTTATGGCGCGCGTAGTTTTTCGCCACCCTGTACAACGATAGGCTTGCGCCGTAGGCTTCATAATAACAGTTGCGAAAAGTTCGGTACAGCGAGAATGATGTTTCAAGAAGGTTCACCTTTAGTATTTACCGTATTTGCAAAATTCAGTAGTGCCATGTCGCTAGCATCTTTATAAGCCAATCAGACATAGCCTTCCTCTGATGAGGCGTTCTGTGAAACAATACAAAGTTCATACCTTATATTCTATTCAAACAAATCTGAGTTAGAGAGGAAAGGCTAGTAGCTACGAATCAAATGCTTTTCACAGCATAAATTATCCTTGGGGCAGAACTTGATCCTATCTGCACATGTTTGCATAGCTCGCGTCACTAACCGCAGAAGCGAGAACAAAGCAGAAAGGGTATCTACTTTTTCAGTGACTGGGCTCAACAGATTGAGAATGTGCCTGCGAATTGCTCTTTTGAGTTTTAACGCCGTTTCTGGAACTTTTAAGGTACTTTGACAGCTAACGCTCAGCTATTGCTGATAAAGATCATAGCATGGCTTTCCCAGGGTAGAATCTCGGCTTTGCAGCTTATAAACTCTAATTGTATGGCAGTTAGTGACAGAATGTCGCTGATTCGATGAATACGATGTCATATAGACCTTATCTGAAAAACTGCAGCAACAGCTTGTGCCGTCCAGCAGCGTGCTCCTTGAAAACTGGAAATACAACCTTTTTGTGGATTTCTGCAGGCAGAGATAGTTTGACAAAACTTTAAGATGCTTCAGTGAACTTTTCTCTATTTATTGGTTTATTTAAGAATCTGTTGTCATTCGTAAGCTTTCATCCAACTGATCATTTATTATCTACTGATCATTTACTTAGAGCATTATCAGCTACATATCTATTAGTCTCGGGCGCGCATTGTCGAGTATACCTTCCTCGTTCGAGGGAACGATGCAAGTCGTTCCTTTCCTTAGCGAACCTTGTAAAGAAGTCATACAGTCAGGTGGTGACCGCTTTGAGTTAAAGTGCCGAGCGGTTCAGACAACTTCCCTGGTCCAACACCCACAACAAAATCGCATGACGTGTCCGGCTCAACTGTCCTTTGAGCCCCTGGTATACGCAGAAGCAGTTCATGATCTTCGTTCGTCGCTATAGCTTGGATCTCTAGTTTCCCTCTGCTCTAGCCTGTATAGAGGAACTTCGAGCATTATCGTTTTCACAGCGCGACGTCGACTTCATGCTCGTCCTGGCTGTGTAAATTCAAATCTCTGAGGCGTATGTCAAAATAGAATGGACCGCAGATTCGAGAAGGTGAGCTGTATCTTCCTCGGCTTCTTCACCTCTCGCTCGCTGTTCTTGAATACTCCCCACGCCGAACGTTTACTTCTGCTCAGGCCCGAAGCCAGGTCGTCCTTATGTTGGCTTCTCGACCCACATCCACGTACCCAGAGCAATGACGATGTTGGTGCCGTAAACGAGGGTAATCGTCACATTTATCTGTCAGCTCTAGCCAGAATCGGCGGTGTGGAGCTGAGTCTTGAGCGTGTCTCGAGAGGTGGGGCTTATCTTTATAGGAAGGATCACGCCTATGGAGGCAGCTGGAATATCCTTGTAATGTATAGGGTTGGCAAAAAAGTTCTGCGACAAACACACAACAACAATTTGTCGTGTGTATTATCGACCACTTCACCAAGTTCACTATCGCTACTCTAATCCAATACTGAATGCTCTTGTATCTGTGCCTTGTATGTATCTGATTTATTGGATACTCTTGTGGAAACCTTTACGCCCAAAACAGAGTTATTCTCTAATTCAGTGGATACCCTCTATAGCGCCTTGATCTCCAATACAGAGTATTCAGCTAATTTAATTAATATCCTTGTGAGAACCTTTATTTTCTTTGATTCGTGGATACTTTTCTATAACCACTTGCGACCATAACAGTTTTCTTCTCTTATTCTATAGATAACCTCTAAAGCCTCTACATCTCCATTACAGTTTTTGTACTTCTCTAATTCAGTGGATACCCTCTATAGCCCCTTTATCTCCAATACAGAGTATTCATCTGATTTATTGAGTACTTTTGTAGAAACCTTTACAACAAGGCATTGTTATTCTCTGATTCCGTGGATACCCTCTATGGCCTCTTTATCTACTGTACAGAGTATTCAGCTCATTTATTGAACACTTTTGAAGAAACCTTAACGCCCATAACAGCGTTATTCTCTTATTCAGTGGATACCTTCTACAGCCCCTTTATCTCCAATACAGTTTCACTCCCTAATTCAGTGAAGAACCTCTATAGCCCCTTTATCTCCACTACTGAGTATCCACCTGATTTATTGGATACTCTTGTAGAAACCTTTACGCACAAAACAGTGTTATTCTCTAATTCAGTGGATACCCTCTATAGCCCCTTCGTCTCCATTACAGAGTACTCAGCGGATTCAATGAATACCCTTGTAAGAACCTTTTTTTTCTTTGATTCGTGGATACTTCTCTTGAAACACTTGCGATCATAACAGTTTTCTTCTCTAATTCAGTGTATACAATCTATAGCCCCCTTATCTCCAACAGAGTTTTGCTCCCTAATTCAGTGAATAATTTCTATATCCCCTTTATTTTCAATACATTGTTTTTCCCTTATTTAATGAAAGCTACTGAGGGAACCTTTACGGCCACAACAGAGTTATTCTCGTATCCAGTGGATACCCTCTATAGCCCCTTGGTCTCCAATACAGAGTATTCGGCTGATTTAATGAATACCCTTGTAAGAACCTTTATTTTCTTTGATTCGTGGATACTTTTCTAGAACCCTTACAGTCATATGGCTCACGCTGTCATGAGCCGTTGCGTACTGGCATTTGAAACAATGACTGTCTCTTCATCCGATAACGTCCCTTGAAGGTATTCGTCCGAATTGGGTCGTTTATTGCAATTTGAACGTCACTTCAATACATCTTATCATCTTGAGGGCAGTGACGTGTGCAAACGCGTATTCAGCCTCATGGCAGATGTTTCAAGCCTATATAAATCCCTCGCAATCTAAATGGGATCTCTTTTCACCCGCGTGCGTGCTCGCCTACAACACCTCAATCCATAGCAGCACCGACTAATCACCCTTCCTAAGTTTGGGTCGATCCAGTCCCAAACATTGACCATATAATTATACATGCAGCGAAGAGACGAATGCAGGCAGTAGTATCTGCAATAAGTCTCTAGTTGAAACGCTCTATTCCATCTGAGCTTTAGCGTCGGAACACAATCATAAGCGTATCGCAGCGATTAGACGTCAATAGGAAAAACTTATCCTTCTAGCCCTGACCATTAGATAATTGGTTGTGATTGTGCTGCCTCCAAGATTTCACGCTCAAACTCGGTCTCTCGCTAACCTATATTATCCCTAGTTAGCGTGATTTCAGGTTATCGCGGTTCACTATCTATACTATCGGTTCACTATCTATGCCTCACAACCGTCAGAATTACAGCACCTGAGAAGTGTTTCACTACGTCAGAACATGCCTTCACGTCATTCTGGGTTTCAAAGTCTGCGGCCTCTGCTCTCGTATCGGCACAAGCCAGTACCATTACCTTTCCCGGCCATACACACAATGTTTCCGATACCATCAGCTTAATCCTTCACTTGGGAAGTCGTTTTTTCACTCCCTCATATAACACATTTCCGGAGACGCCTATCGGCGTGCTAAAGCAACTTCGTTCCAACTCGGTATCATCTTCATTCCTTTCTTTTACATTTGGCTCTATCAACTCATCTCGTTAATATTGGGTTGACAAGAACGCTCTTCGAGAAAAGAATCAAACCATTAAAAATTCGCACAGACAATGTGAACTCGTTAGCGAGGTTGATAAACGTATACGACATTTCCCTGGCAATCAAAACAAGAGTAAACCACACGGTCTCCGCTGCATTAACGCCGACGAATTGGCAACACCCGATTCGCACCATGAGCTTCTACTTGGCATTCCAAGAGGAAATCGCGGGTGTAGCGGCTTGAATCATCAGCAACCTATTGTATGCTAGCACGGCTAACTGATCAATGGTCAACATTCGGTTGGATCGTTCCAGTACCAGGGATGCTAGCCTTGGAAGAAAAGCAAGCATCGCTCCTTAATTTCATGGAGGCTGGAGGGACCCATCTACTATGAACTGCCAAGCGCAGACTAGATGGTTAGCTGTTGGCCGATTTACGTTATCTCGGTTTCATTCTTGACAAGAATGGGAGAAGACCCAATCCAGAGAAGGTCGAAGCTATCATGAACATGGACGAACCGAAGAATATTGCGCAACTAATATCTTTTCTATGAATGATTACGTTCTACTCTATATTTGTGCTATTTATGAAGAATCTCCGTGGACCGTTAGATGCGTTTCTCAAAAAAGACGTGAAGTGGAGACGGAGCTCTAAAGAACATGAAGCATTTGAAAAATTGAAGGAGGCATTGTCAAACGATGCCAACCTTGCTCACTGCGACCCTCTGCAGAAGATTGTTGTGGCAGCTGACGCTTGTGATTATGGTATTGGATGCGTTATCTCGCATAGATACGAAAACGGTACAGAGAAACCTATTGCACATGCTTCAAGATCACTGTCAGCCGCGGAGAAGAAGTACTCGCAGATTGAAAAGGATACTCTTGGACTTGTTTTTGCAGTCAAGAAGTTCCACACGTACTTGTTTGGAAGAAAGCTTTACTTTTAACAGATCATAAGCCTTTGTTAGCTATTTTTTGGAGACAAGAAAGGAGTTCCGGTATACTCCGCAAATCGGCTTATGGATGGGCCACTATTTTGCTTGGTTATGATTTTGACATTGAGCATGTCAAAACCACGCAATTCGGACAAGTAGATGGTCTCTCAAGACTGATGCAGAAGCACCAAGATGCGGACGAAGATGTGGGGAGAATGATGTTTCCAGATTGCTAAAAGATTGCATCAGAAGGCTACCACTGACCTGTGAAGATGTCAGAGATAGTACCGCAAGGGACTTCTTACTCAAGAATATTATGTCAAATTTGATGTCCGGTAAAATGGCCAAAGATGAGCTCTAAACTGTCACCGTATTTCAACAGGAAAGAAACGCTATCGATCGTGCATGGATGCCTCATGATGGCGGAACGAGTTGTCATTCCAGGAGAACTACAAGCTCAAGTTCTCAAAGTACTGCATGTTAGTTCCAGGAATAGTACGGATGAAGAAGCTCACCAGAAGTTATGTTTACTGGTCAAATCTCGACAAGGATTGTGAAGAAATAGTGCGAAATTGTTCAAGATGTCAAGAATATGCGAAGAATCCCATTAAGGTCCCTTTGGAAGCTTGGTCAACAGCAGCTTATGCGTGGCAAAGGATCCATGTAGACTTCGCAGGACCTGTTTGCGGATTATTTTATATGGTTGTTGTAGATGCTTTCAGTAAGTGGCCGAGAATTATTGAGATGACAGGTATCTCTGCAGGCTAAACGGTAAAGGGACTGAAGAAGGTTTTTACGAGATATGGAATTCCGCAAAGCATCGTCAGCGACAATGGAACGCAATTTACCTCGAAACAATTCAAAATGATGTGAGAAGAAGGAGGAATAACACACGTAAGAACCACTCCCTGCCACCCGCAGTGAAACGGACAAGCCGAACGTTTCGTTGATACACTGAAACGCGGAATCAAGAAACTGAAGGGGATAAGCCATCGGAAGAGACGCTGAACGTCTGCACGCATCCTGCAAGCTTACCGGACAACTCCAAACGAATGCTTGAACAACAGGACAACAGCGGAAGCACTTTTAGAAAGAAAACTTCGCACACGGTCGAGTCTTGTGCGCCCGATGGAAGAATCACCCACGGCACCATCTGGAGAAAACCGGAAGAAGATGATTGAAGAGTTTAACAGAAAAAAAACAATACTGTTCCAGAAGAATTTGAAGGTTTATGCTCAGGTATGGAAAGCACCGCAGTTCATGTGGAAAGAAGATATCATCACCAGAAGGATTGGCATGGTCAACTATTAAGGTAACCTGAGTGGAAGGATAACGAGGAAACACGCAAACCAGCTGCGTCGTCGTGACGAAAGGAAAGTCTAGAAAGCACCGTCAGGTTATGGAGATAAGTCATTGCTGACTCTGCTCGAGATGCTCGAATTGGACGACGTGTGTACATGACGAGAGGAAGCCGCCCAAGCTACAGGTGCTGCAGCTCAAGCACGACAAGCCCACGAAACCAAGGTACCACTACGTCGCTCTACAAGGACCAGAAGGCCGGTACAGAGGTACCCAGATACATTTCGTTAGCTCATTTGTTGGGTGTTAATTGTTTCTTTTTTTCTACTAGGGGAGGTGTTGTATTAGTGATCATGTAAACACCCATTATCGTGATCTAATCGATAATGTGATCGGCGGGAAACCCGCCTATATAAGCCCTGGGATGGCGGGCTCATTAGTTAGTTATTAAGTTATTCGATCTTCCAGTCTCTTACCTGCCTAGCGCCTTCTCTGCACCTCCAACTTCCCCAGAGTCGAGTGTGTTCTAATACTTGCCTACTAATAAATCTATAATCGAAATCTCTTGGTTTATATAATATATATAGTAAGGATATAGTAAGGATATGGTATGGTATGATATGGTACGATATGGCATGGTATGGTATGGTATGGTATATGGTATGGTATGGTATGGTATGGTAGGTGCTATCTAAAAATCTGGCGCGTCTGCGAAATTCGCTGTGGGACCGCAATACCGTAACCCGTGCTCATGTGCTTAGTTGCAGCTGGCCTGAATTTTGGCCTAATGGTGGAGACAAGGTAAGTATCAGAGCGGTAGAACAATTACATTCCTACTGAGGTATACTACAAATTCAAAGGGAATGTAGTTTACATAGTAGCGTAAATGTAATGTATGAGCGGGCGGTTTCCACAATGCATGAGACATTCGTTGCTTACAACAAGAAGATGTTAGTCTGTCTATTTTTATCACCTTTCAATATCTGAACAGTGAGGAATATTGAGACTCCTTGTTTCATGCTTTTTGACTAATTTTGTTGTAACATTTATCCATAGGTAACATAATTTAGTTTGGGATCATTTTTGAGAATTTGAGAACTTTCATGTTTCACCTGACATATTCCCACCCCCTCCCCGTTCAATGGCTCTAAATCTAGAAAAACCCATGACACTTGTTGGGGAGAAAGTGACAGAATCTTGCGAGCCACACCCTTGACCCTCCTGCCTCGCAAAATCATGCTCTACCAATTGGGAACTTGGCCTACCGCTCTACTTGGATGATTTCAAACCAAAAATCACACACGTCTAGGGGACACTTGCTTATTTTAGGGGAGCGGACAGATAAACAAACTCTGGTTTATTAGTAGTTATCGTAAAAGTCGATACAGTGCTCGTGAATAATCGGCGCGCTTCAGTGACGCAGCCGCGACGCGGCCGCGGTCTCGCAGATGCGCCAGATTTTTACGTGCGACCTGGTATGGTATGGTACGGTATGGTATGGTATGGTATGGTATGGTATGGTATGGTATGGTATGATATGATATGGTATGGTATGGTANGGTATGTATGTATGTATGTATGTATGTATGTATGTATGTATGTATGTATGTATGTATGTATGTATGTATGTATATTTGCATGTGTGTCGCAAAGTCTGGTCTTACCTGAAAAACACCAGTAGAGGTTAGGACAAGGTCGGGATGGGTGTAGCCTGAGAAAAGAGCAACATAAGCTCAGCTCAGCGAACCACAGAGGATGGGGCAAGTGCCGGAGTGGGCGATGTTGAACTCCAAACATCTAATTTTTGCGTTGAAAAAGTCGGGAAGAGACGGACAAAGATGATTTTTTTTCACGAAACCAGAGGAACTATAGACTCACTCGCTGTGGGCGGGCATCCTCGAAATGTTCGGTAGTTTTCACGAGGATTCACAACTCGTTTCAACGAAGGCGTGGAGTCTAGAGAAAAAAAACAAAGTGGCCAAGGAAAATAGGTGGTTAGAGGATATCGGAAAAACGTGGCCGGATCGCAAAAGCGGTCAGGGTTTGCACTGGGTCGGGCGGATTATGATGGAGTATTGATAACTCTATTCAGAAACGTTCTGGCGCACGGAAAAAGTGGTTAGTTATGGAAGAAATGGGGGTGTACATCACATCATCCCATCCCACCAAAATGGGCGGATTGTGCACTGGGGATGTTGAAAATTCAAGACTTTGTTCAGAATTATTCTACAACGCGGGAAAAGATGGTCAGAGGCCATAGGATAAATGCGGTTGATTCCCCGAAGTAGGCGGAGTGTGCATCGAGGTGGGTGGAATTAATATGGAAAAATCATACCTCTGTTCAAATATATTTCACATCACGGGAAAAACGTGAGTTGAGGTTATAGAAGAAATTAGATGAAATTCGCAGAGTGAGTGGGGTCTGCACTGAAGAGGGCGGGCTAAGAGAAGCGCAGAAGCGTTCCACAGCGAGGGAAAAGTGCTAAAAGGGCATAGGAGAAGTGATAAAAAATCTCCAAAGTGGCCAGAGTTTGGCCCTGGGCGGAGAGCAACAACAGATAACCCTGTTCTAATACGATTTGGAATGCGGAAAAGAGGTCGTCAGAAGCTATTGGATTGATGTGATCGAATCCCTAAAGTGAGCGTTGTTCGCGTTGGGGTGGACGGGCTAAGATGAACAATCCATGACTCTGTTCAAAATTGTTCCAGAAGAACGCGGAAAAGTGTTAGAAAGAGTCCTTGCTATGTAGCATGCATTCAGCGTGGTCAGCATCACTGAATGTGCTCATTCGCTATCGGGAATTCATACTCAAACCCAAACGGTATCCTTACAATAACCGCAAAAATTCGTTCTTCGATTTCGTTTTATGTCTGTTTGTCATCAGCTTACGCGGTGGACTAGATATCAAAATGGAATAGCTTAGCCAGGTCGAATCAAAAGGGGAATGAACTGAGCTACTGATGAACACCTGACTTGAGGCAGGCCCAGACCATGAGGGGCGGGCCCTACGCGGAAAGTGGGTTTTACCGGAAATACACAATCCCTGTTCCCGCGGGTTTAGAGTGTACAAATTCGAAAGAAATACAGAGGCAGAATGAGAACACCAAAGGCGGTAGGTGCTTATTCGGCTCAGTGGGGGTAGAACGAGAGCAGGATTTGTTCTCCCAGGCTGGAGCTGTCAAATTTGAAACGGATTTAGGGGGCAAAAGGGAAACACTAGTGACAGGTAGCAGGTTTAAACTTCGCTCCTTGGAAAAGGAACGTACGCAAATGTTGCTTCCTTGAAATCAGTGCGTTCATATTTGGCATAGATACAAGGAGCCGATGGGAACACTGTTTCCACTAGTGATGCGGTAGGTGTGTACCCCGCCTATTGGGGGTGGAGATTGCACGAAAATTGTTCTCTAAGAGCTGGAGCTG